CAAAGTGCAGATTTTAGAGGCGTTTATGGTTTAGTAGTCCAACAGCTCGACGTGCACGCTTATAGCCACTCGTAATCATCTAAGAATTTTCTGGAACTATACGTTTTAGCCGGAACCGGGTTTAATTAATACAGTGAAGTCTCAGATGACGAGCAGACCCATCTACGAGTATTTCAGGTAACGAACGAGCCACTAGCAGAAAATGTGTTTTTCTTGACGAACTCCCCTTCAGTTAACGAGTTGTCAGTGCGCGTGGGTGTGTCTGTATCCGCCGTTGAATCTTGCTCCCGGGGCGTAGATCTTCGGTCACCTGCGGCAGGTCAGTGAATTGATTCAATTTCATTGTTTACGTTCCGTAAAACGGGCGTTTCACATGACGAGCTAGGTGCCGGAACGAATTTTTGCTGAAAATGTTGGATATTATCTTCAAAATAAAGCATTCATTCTCTCTAACACAAGTAAGCACGTTAACCGAGATTCCACTCATACAAAATACGCTTCAGCGACTGGAGCGCCTTGTTACTGTCAATGGGATCCGTTTTACGTGAAAAACAATGAATTGTAGTCCCGCAATGTTGCTGTCGATGTCAGAACTTTTCTCTAGTCAGGGAGAATGGGGAAGACGTTATTCTGGTTCACTCAAACTTTCGTACCGATTGGGGGAAGGAAAATTGGCGAATCACATAGAGAACTATGACTTGCTAGTCTAAGCTACCCATTCGCATTATCTCTAACTCAGGAGCCAAGCGGATCTAGCAAAAAAGATAGACATTTTGCGGTGACTGTAGTCCACTATTTTACCTTTCTCTGTTCGGATGTACAAGGCTTGTTAACAAGATAAACCTTTACCAATGGGCGAATCAAAAAGATGTTGATAATCAACGTGTTTTAAAAACGACCTAGAAAACGCAATGCAAAGAAGAAAATGTAAAGAAACATCTTCAGCGGAAGAGTTTGGATAAATCAAGTGGCTTCATCATGGTCCCTGCGACGATTATCCACCTGGATCAGCTCCGACAGTGTTTCATTCGAAAGTATACCTAAGGAGTAAAAGAAACTTTATTTAATTTTGGTTGGAAGCAAAGAACCTGTGCTATATACTCGTAGGGCCGACTGAGTGGTTTCGACAGCTTAAGGGCTGGTTAATTCGACCGGTTACCACTTTGACAGATTTTGAATACTTGCAAGATCCGTTTCTCACCTATCTCGTGTGCCTGTGCATAAATTTACCTTGCCAATTAAGCCATTCACATAACGTTCGGTCAGGTTTATTAACGGAAGAAGCAAACGCCCCTGAACTCCCTAGTGGGATACAGTAGTTAAGAAATGCATTGGTACAAGAGAACATTGCAAAATAGGTCCGCTCTTATAGATGTTGTTTTTTTCTCGCAACAGACGTCGGATCATAACCATGGGTGTGTACGCTAGAGAGGTCACCTTAGCCGTTAATAGCTGCAA